AAGAGAGATACAATTAAATATGAAATAATTTATTAAAATTAATTTTATGTAGGCTTCAATAAAAGAATTTATGAAATTTAAAATTCGTTTTGCTTCAGAAACCAAATGTTCGGTAAGTAATTAAATAAACGACATATTTGATAAATTAAATTTAAAAAAATTACACGTTAATCATTTTATTTTGTTTATTTAATTTATTCAATAATTATTAAGTAAATAAATAATTTAATGAATATTTTTTTTATACTTAGGATACTGCGAAAGAAAATTTAATGAGTGATGCTATGACAGCTAAATTTGTTAACAGTACGTAAAAATTTTGTAATCATTATTTTTTATTTTTTAAGTAATTAAAAATAGAAGACGAGTTACGTAAAATGAGTCTCATTCTATTTACAGTTTAGTCCTGTTCAGTACTTTAGTTTCAATAATACTTCTGTAAACTTTTTATCAGTTGTTAACAATATTATTCTATAGTAACGTTATACCTTAATGTTAATAAATTACCAATAAATTATACATTAGTCTACTAAAAACATTTATATTTCATTTTGATATCAAACTTATAACTGGGTGATTTAGTAAATCTTTTGAAGTTATAAAACTAAACTAATTCATCTTTAATTTATTGACATTCTAATCTTTTCCCCTCAAAATTACCACGTTATATGACATAGTTTTGAATTAAGTTTAATTATAAAGAGCATATTAAACATGTTTAGATAATTAAAATGTAGCATTTACTATCAGCCTTTAATTACGTTCTATTAACGCGCATAGAAGATTCACCACACAAAATCAATAAAATTGAAAATATAAATATTGATAATATTAATACACGAATCTAATAATTCTTTGGAATTAATTATCTTAACAAAATAATATAACAGTTAACTATTAAAAACATGAAAAAATAATAATATTTACATAACAACATCTAAAATAGAAATATCAGTTCAAGAGTTTGATGTTGATTTTTTTCAAGATTTTATTAAAAGAGTAAAAATAATTGAGATTAAAAATAAATATAAATAAATTCAACTCAATCAACAGAATGTAGAAATAAAAATTTTAGTGATAAATCTAATTAATTTGATATAATCGGCTAAGATAAAGTGAAGAATATATAAAAGATGATAATATAAGTTATCAATAACGGTAAATAAATCTTAGTATTGTTATATGCAGAAATTAGCCTACAATATTAAAAATAAGGTGCTATCAATGTAGTTCAATATATCAGTTTTAAGTTATTTCGGTTTAAAAGAATTCTGAATTCGATTTCTAAAACCGGTCATCATTTATTTTTAAATGACTTTTTTTTATAATTTTATATATTAAATTTTTACGTTACATTAAGTGAATTAAGTGTTATTTAGTAGTGTTTTGTCTTATTCTGTATCAAACATAATTAATTACTTTTAAAATAATAACAACAAAAAATTATTACAAGTTTTATAGGTTATATTATAAATTAGTTTCAAATAAAAATTCAAACGAATTTTCTACCATTTTAAAAATTCATATAAAATTAACGAATTCGATTTTCAAAATTTTGAACCGTACGTTAATAGAAGAATTAAGTGGAATTCGAATGCAACAAACTGTTTGATGTTTTATCCGATTCCGTTTTCGAGAATTTTTGAAAAAGGTTTCTCCCACAGAAAAATCATTAAATTTTTAACGCCATGTGCTGGCGATCACATGCATAATCAAAGAAGTTACAATCAGCCTTATGTACTGTACTGCACAGTACGTTAACTATTTACATATTAATTATTTACATAAGAATATTTCTAAAAAAATTTACATTGATTAATTGTATATTTTTTAAAATAATTATTTTCTAATTGGTTGAAACAAAATTTTAAGTTTACTGATATGAATATTTCTAAGCTTGAAATAATTTGTCATTGATATTTTAAAAATTGTCTATTATCTAGTTTTTAATTTAAATCAATTTTAATGAATAGAACATGCAGTAAGCGACGAGAAAGTAAAAAGAAAATTTCCAAATGAAGACGACATTGCCGACTGGTTAGAAGAATTTCGAAATGGACCGAGAAGGAAGAAATCTCCAAATACAGCTCATCTTCATTCTATCATTGAGAGATCTGCTCTTGCTCAGAAAGTAGCCAGAAGTTTAACAAATATATCAAATATGGAAAATTACACTTAACCTTGCTCTCTACGTTCATTTATATTAAAGTGATTTTTTTTTCATTAAAAACTGTTTTTACTGATGTCTAACTGAAGAATTTAGCGTTAAAAACACATTATAATTAATGTTTTAGAGAAAAATCAAACTCGAATTCTTAAATATTTCTGCCCTCATAAAAATTTATTAAATCTTGTTTTATATTTAATACAAAATCTTAAGCAGAAAGACTTCTATAAACAATTATTAGCAATTAACTTTCTTATAATCATTATCGGCTTACGCAATAAAACAAGTTTAATATTGTTCGCTCACCAAATAATTGTAATTTTAGTGAGAAGTGAGATTGTTGTACAGTATGTCTTCGGAAAGCCAGCATCACGCTAATATAGGATACAAAAAATTATTTAAACCAGGCACGTTTTATTGAAATTATTTTCAAAATAATTAAATTTGAATCAATTTTACAATAAGTAAATTTATATTTATAGTATTCGAGAGATACGAAAAATCAAGACTTTACTTCGTCCAAACTACTTGTGACTTTTCACAGAAAGCTGAATTATCTGATCCATTAAGAGAGGACGGTGAATATTGTTTCAAATGCTAAAGTATTATAAACTTTTAAAGATGAATCAAATAGAAAAAAAAAACTGTTTATTGTTTAAATTAGGAATTGTATTTCTTCTGCTACCGTTGCTACTCGATCCATCTCCTGTGATTCAAAGATTGGCCACTGTTAGTCTTGGACGTTTGGCAAACAATAATGCTGACATTGCGGATGATTTAATTAAAAAGAATGTAATTCCGTTGATGGTTGATAGATTATTACAGGATAAGGTAATTTTCGTTCGTAATATACAACTCTATATTAAGATATATAAGGTGAATAATGAGAGTATTCATATTTATGTTTAGAGAAACACAAATAATACACCGAGCCCATATCAGTTATATAAAAGAGCAGCAGCTTTTGTCCTGAGAGCAGTTGCAAAACATTGTCCAGAATTTGCTCAAGCAATTGTCGACGTAGAAGGATTGAATGCTCTTGAAATCTGTTTACAGGAATCTGATTCGATGGTAAAGGAATCAGCAGCTTACGCAATTGCAAATATTTCTAAGCATACAGAAGGTAGATCATGCAATTTTATACTTTCATTAATTTCAAAATTATAATTTACAATTATATTTTTGCAAATTTTCTTCAGAGTTAGCCAGTTTTGTGGTAAAAAAAGGTATCTTTCCTTTGCTGATAAAATGTTTAGAAGTGGGAGAAATAAATTTGACAAAAACTGTAGCTATGGCTATTTTGGAAATAAGCAAATATTCAGGTCCTTTAAAAGAAGCTTTGAATGAAAATGATTGCATTCATACCATATGCCAATTGATCACAACATCAGACAATAGAATAAAGGTAAAATATATAGATTACAAAATGTAATTTATTGTTCAAGCCATAAATTTAAATTCGTTTACAGCTTCTTCTTATACCTATTTTAATATTCATTGTGAGGAGTTCAGACGAATTAGCTCAAAAAGTAGTTGAGAAAAATGCAGTTCCTTCTGTTTGTACCATGTTATTAGAAGATGATCAAAATATTGTAAAGAATGCTGCATCTTTTCTTTACGAAATGGCTAATCAGAGTCTTGAAGTGAGTTTCTGTTAATGCAATTTACTTATATAACTGTGAGGATAATCATGTTAGAGTGATTTTTAGGTAGCTCAATCAGTGGTTAATAGTGGTGCAATCCCCATCGTAATCAAATATTTGCAGAAAAAATATTTTAAAGATGACGTTAGAACATCTGGAATAATGTTTCTTGGCCAAATAGCATCACATGCCGAAAATTTAGCAGCTGTTGTTATTGAAAATAAGGTTACATTTTTCTTTTATAGATTGCAGTAATGTATTGGAACAATCAATTAATCGAAATTTTTATAGGCTGTTCCAATTTTATGCTCAATTCTCACAGAAGAAGATTGTAGCGAGTGCACTAAAGAAGCTACAGCATGGGCTCTTGGTCACATTGGAAGTCACAATGCTGATCATGCTAGAGTAGTGGGCGAAAATAACGGTTTGGTGTGGCTTTTAGTCACTGCTCACGATGGTCGATTATCAGCTGATATCAGAATGAAGGTATTAAACATTTAATTACGTAAAATGAATAATAATTAAAAATAAATTAAAATAAAATTCCATTAATTAAAATGAGAACTAAAATATTTGATGCTTTATCAATAAATTTATGATTGGCAGAGTTATAAAAATTACAAATAAGCGCCTATTTTTCCAACCAATCAGCGTTAAGATAATTTAAAATATATTGTAGCTTTTACTCAATAAAAATTCAGAAGACCGCTTACGTTTAATGAAACTTGTTTTATCGTTTAATTAATTTTTTTTAATCTATTTCACTCCGAGATTATTTTACTTATTACAAATTATTTAATACGAAGCATAAATTTCATAAATATTAAACATTACAGAGTAAAAAGTCACTGAGAATGATTCTAGAACATTGCGAACATCAAGCATCTCTCGAAGCATTAATTCAAGATTGTCCGTTAGACATAATGGAATTAGTTTTAGCTCAATATAGCAAGGTTAAATTTAATTATTTTTTCATTTAATTTATATTAAATTGTAATATTTAATATAAATTCTAACATTAAAAAATTAATAGATTTTACTATATAATGTTCGGGCTCGTATTGGCTTCATTATGGTTGGTGCTCTGAAAAAAATTCAGGAATTAAAAACTGAAGGAAGAACTGAAATTAATCAGTACATTCATACAATCAATTCTTGCTTTCCTGAAGAAGTCGTAAAGTAAGTTGAATGTTATTTAGTTTTAAAAATATTTTTATAATGGTAAAAATCACTTATTTTTATTTTTTTCTAGGTATTATACACCTAGTTATCTTCAAGAATTACTCACTAAAGTTGAAGAATACAAACCAGTTAAACAACATTAATTTTGATGGCAAAATTTATTTAAAATAATATTTTAAATTGAAAAAAAAATTAAAATATTGATTAAATAAAATAATTTATTCTGGATAATATGTAAATTCATATAAAATTCTAAATTATTTTTTTTCTACTGTAACGAGTCTATATCGATTAAAAAATTATAATTATAAATTAAATAATTTTTAAAATTTTTATCGTATTAAATTTGTATAAAATAACACAAATTAAAATATTTAAAATTGCTAAATTAAATAAAAATTTGTTATGGCGTATGTTTGATTATATTATATAAGTTTTATGTTATAAAATAAATAAACAAATATACTATATAATAAAGATAAAGTACAGTATATAAAAGACAAAAGAAATTAGTTTTAAAAATTCTGAATTGAACAGTTCTAAAAAGTGTTAGTAGATGGCGGAATATGCTTGAACGTATTTAATTTCTTTGAATGATCAACTTACACCCCTTGAGATGTGCACAAAATCGATATTTATCAAGAATTAAAACGCACGTCATGTTATAATATTTTCAAATAATTAATAAATAATAAAATGCATTAAACTTTTATAAGTATTGCCTCATTAAATACTGTAGCATGCATGGGTGACAGGAAAATTATGTGAAGGACAGGTATAATTTTTAGTATAGAAAAAGTAATTGATTAATAAAGATAAATGGAATGCTACAGGAAGGGAAAAGATATANAAATGTATTTTATACCTGTAAGATAATCTGATACTATACGTTCCTTCTTATATTTTTAGTATTTCAAATATCGTTAATGTAGTCCGGGTCTATATATTTATAATCTATCAGAATATATTGTCATACATAAAAACATATATCATATAATTTACAGAAAAATGTCCCTATATTTTTCTAAGCAAAGCAACACAAATGATATATATTTAAGAGAAAGCTATTTTATTAGGATGCATTTATAGAATTATATTTATTTATTTTTTGTTTACAAAACAGAAGTATAAAGAACAACATCTGTTGTATTTATATAAGATATTTTCGATTTCTTCAACGATTAATACCGTCTACACATCAGATACACACACATATATATATATATGTCTACTCTTGAAAACGATCGTCTTTTATTGAACATTTGACGTTTGCTATCGTTTTTATTTTCACCTGAGCTTCCATTAAAAGATTATTGCTAGATATAAAGAAGTTTAAATGATATTAGAGAACATTCCACGAAATGTATTATCTCCTTTATTTCTTTTATTATCTTCTAAACAACTCATTCGTTTATTTTTTCTTCTTATTTATTTATTAATTTACATTTAGTTTTCTACATTTATCAAACGCATAGGTCATATACTAATTTAATAAGTATAGTATTACTAGAAATAAATTTTAAATTTATGTTTATTAATAATGGAAGAATACAAAGTATTATACATATAACAAATAATATTTTTATTTTATCTTTTATATATTTTAAACCATATTATGGAAGAAGAAATAACTGAAATTAAATATAATCCAATTAAATTCAAAGAGAAGTAGTTTTTATTATTTTTAAGATCGATCAAAAGCAAGAGAGATTTCAAAGAAAGATTTATTTGCTCATTTGAATTTTTAAATATATTTTTATTTAAAGTTATTATTTTAAGAATTTTATAACTAGAAATGATCATTTTCCTTTTTTTTACAAATAGTTAATAATGTTTTCAATATAATTTATTCAACAAACTTAATAAAAATTTATCTTTTTATTACTTTCGTTGAATAATTGTTATTAATAATAGTTAAAAAATTTATCGATGTTTCAATTTAAAATGTAGATTAATAAAGTTTAAATCAAATGAATTTAGTATATATATTAACAATGTAAAATAAATAATATAATTTAAACAAAATTATTATTAACATTTTTAAAAGAAATTTTTAAAAAGTTTTCAGATTTGTATTTTAAAATATAAATTTAAAAATTTAAGTAATATTTAAATTTATGAAGAATTTTATAAAAATGCAAACTGTAGAATAATAATGTTTTGTAAAGAAATTTTAACTAAATCTTCAGTTTATCTTTTTTACTTTTTAAGTTTTTAAGAAATATTCTATAAAAATTGCCAAAATTAAAATACGTATTTATAAAATTAAAAAAGATTACAATTAAATAAATTTTTGTTTTTAAATACATATGAAAATATTATAGTAGAGTTTCGCTTTGTGGCCAATCCTGAAATATTCCTTTAAAACTGAGTAAGTTTTAATATAAATCAAATTCCATCTTGGTGACCACTCGCTTAAGTAGCCGTGATAGGAGTGTCGTAAAGTGACATTTATTCATGTTTACGTGGCCAACCGAACAGGAAAATCCCATGTTCCTAAACTCAACGTATTGTTTAAAGCTCTTTGAACGGAATTGACTTTATTGTTATAGTTTTGGAACAGATTGGTGAGATTCCTCTGACAGACAATGTTCAAATAAAATAAATTTTCAATTACATTTGACAAATTAAATTTATCTCTAAAATTTAGTAGGAAGAAAGCGAATTATATATATTTTCAATAATTTTATACAAAATTAACTACAGTTTGTAAGAATATAACTATACAAATCAGCTATGATCGATCTACGTCACTGGCAACACTCGACGAAGAAAAACATTGATGAGTTCAATGTCAAATCCGGTTAAATAATTACATTTTTTCTAACCTATGGACACTTCTGCATACCTAGTGACTTCTATTTAATAATATTTTCCCTGAATTCTCCTGTTAAAATACAGTACTTAAATAAAACCGTTACTAGCTATTTCAGAAACATATTGATTTCGTTGTGGTGTTGATTCTGTGTAAGGGTACTAAACAATTCCGTTTAGTATTGTGCTGTACAGTCAGAGCCGGCCCTACCATAGGGCGAACGGAGCAGCCGCTCCAGGCGCTAAGTCCTAGGGGGCGCCTCAGTGGTAAAGAAAATTAAAGGGTATAAATTAGGGGCAACCAAGGTGGGCGCCATAATAGGATCTCGCTCCATCCTAAAACTTGCCTCGGGCCGGCACTGTGTACAGTACTTGAATTAATCCTACTTCAAACAGCTTGCATTTACTGTACAGTATATGTAATTTGTATTTCGATATTCTATTATTCAGTGTTATCGTGTATGAAAGTTTGAATTACTGTACAGTACATTGCAAAGGATGAGAGTATTGTGTGAATTTTTATTTAATTTTATTTATTTATTGTTTACTTTTATATCAAAATTCAGTAACGTACTCTAATTACAGTTGTGTGTGTGTGAATTTTTCTATAACTTTATCTTGGTGATGACCTTACTTATGACAGAAATTATATACCCAAATATGGCCACTTAAGTGTAAAGGAGAGTTAGGTTAGGTTAGGTTGCAACATTGCAATTTAAAAACTGGCGATCGAGAGTAGTGCTAATACGTTCTGCAGGATTCGGTAGTCTGGAGTAAGTGAAGTATATTTTTAATAAGAGAAAGATTATTATTCAGACTTTGAAGAAAATCTCGGTAAGTTTCACAACTTCTTATTTTAAAAGACCGGTAATTTGTATTTAATATTAATGCATGATGTAGTTGTGATATTGCTGTGAAATTTTGAAAATCTACGATCGCGTTCCTGAGAAAACAAAATGGCATACAATGCATGCTGTATGGGCCAGGTTGTAACATAACATGTGAGGAAAATTACAACAACAGCAATAGTTTTATACAAAATTGCATCGTTCTTCTAAACCTTTATTCTTTTCGTTCATATTGTAATGCTTATTGTAGAAAAGAAACTGGGCGTAGGCTTTATGATCATAATGATATGAACTTTTCCTTTGCAGAACAATATGAGAAATTACAAACGCAAAACAGAAAGCAGGAAACTCCAACTGAAGTTACGATTAAAGTAACTGAAGAAGCGTTAAAAGCAGAAAACAAAAAGTATTTTCCTGCAGAAAAGTTTAAGAAAAATACAATATCTATTATTCCACCTTGTTGAGGCTTTTAATTAAACTATAGAAGAGAAGAGAAAATAATCTGGAGATACCAAACCACTGAATGCTGGCTATAAATCGCCTAGCCAAGTATTTAATGATGAAAAGAAGAGCAGCTGAGAGTATATCTGAAACACTGCAGTGAGCTCGTTTTTAAAAATAAATGTATATATAATAACAATTTTGTTGTAACTTGCTCCAGAGATAAGGTAAATTGTAACATTTGAACTGTTCTGGTGTTTTCAGATTAAAAAAAATGAGTAAAGGGAATTCAGTTTAAAAGTTTATACTTGTTTGCAGCTGAAAATAAAAGTTATTATACTTACCTTTTCTTATGAAATGTGTATATTTTAGCATAAAAATTATATGACAAAAGTAGAGCTATCAAAGGAAGTATGCAGATTTCTCCAGTATTTTTAGGACAAAATATTAGTATTTTGTGGCGTAACCAGAGCTTCTGATCACTGCATCACATCTACGTTCCATTGAATCAACTAAGTTGTCTGGAGGAATACAATTTCAAATAGTATTAAAGAAAAAATGGTAGATATGCGTTTGAAGGAAAAAAAAAACCTTTACTGAAATTGATAAACGTTTTGATAAATGGATATTGAAAATGAAATTGATAAATGGTAGATATGCGTTTGAAGGGAAAAAAACCTTTACTGAAATTGATTTATTAATGTGCATAAAACTTGTCACGAAAGTGGTGAAGTGTTTTCAAATATATGTGGCCATTGTTTCTGCCAAAAAGTCATGTAGACCACGAAAAACAACACCATAGTTGGATCGTTTGATCAGGCGTGCGAGGCAGCTAACCCTTGTTTGACTGCTTCACATATTAAACGTGAAGTGGGTAACCCAGATATAAGCTTAAGGACAGTACGAAGACGTTTGACTAGTTTTGGGTTACATGAGAGATGACCAGCAAAGAAACCACTCATCTCTGCAGAAAACAAAAAGTTGAGATTAGAGTTGAACACATCACTTGACCAAACAAAAATGGTCCAAGGTGTTATGGAGTGATGAATCTAAATTCAATATTTTCTCTAGTGATGGTATACGATATGTCAGACGACCAGTGAACATGAGATATGACCCAAAATACATAGTTCCTATAATAAAGCATGGTGGTGGCTGCATAATGGTATGGGGATGTTTCTCTGGAAAGGGAATTGGTCAAATTCATAGAATTAATGGAATAGTGGATCAAACTGTTTCTCAGAACTTATTACAGAATCAAATGCTTCCTCATGCACGTCGTTCAATGCTAAGGAAATGGATCTTCCAACAGGACAACGACCCAAAACGCACAGCAAATTTGGTAAAGCAATGGTTTTAACAAGAAAGGGTGACTCTTATGACATGGCCAGACCAAACGCCAGACCTAAACACCATACAGAATCTTTGGGATGAAGTTGAGCGCCGTAAACGCCAGCATACATATTCGAATCCGGATGAATTGTGGTCTACCATTCAAAAAGCATGGTATGAGACTCCAAAATCATTGCTTGACAACTTAGTTGATTCAATGGAAATGTGATGCAGTGATCAGGAGCTTTGGTTACGCCACAAAATACTAATATTTTATCCTAAAAATACTGGAGAAATCTGTATACTTCCTTTGATAGCTTTACTTTTATCACAATGTAAAATATAAAAACTTCGTTTTTTCTTATGTGAATCAGATTTAAAATGAAATTTGTTTGAGTTAATTGAGTATTTTGACTCTTTTTTTGTGCTCTTTTCAACTATCACAATATTAATTACGTAGTAGGAGGTGAACAAAATAGAGGTCTCATTTTTAAAACATATGCCAAGAGTAGCTCTACTTTTGGTAACTACTGTAGTTTAAAAATAAAATAAATATATTCTCTAATAATTTTCTTCATTTAATTATAAAAATAAAATGTTTAAAAGATTTTAAATTAATTAGCAGAATTTTATTGGTAAAAATTATTGTTTCACAGCTAATTTAATTGTATTTTAACTCATATACTGTAGGTAAAGAATAGCAGATATTTACCAATGGATTNAAATATTACTTTTTACGACAAGTAAATGTTATCAAAGATTGATTTATAATTTAAAAAATAAGGCGAAAGTAAATCTCCAAGTAATAAATGGGTGAATTGGAGTATAAGAAAGACATTTGAAAATAAAAGTATTTCGAGACATTTATTGGAATAGAGAATGACTTATTTATCGATAGATACGAGATATGTTTCTACTTTATTTCTCGTTTTTTATATCGTAAATCATCTTCTATGTGTCCGTTTTCTGATACCAGAAATTCTTCGAAACGTCTCTCTCTCTCTCTCTATTTTTTTCCCCACATCGAAATAAATACGAAAATAATAAAATATATTCGTTCAACTATAGAAAATATTGTTTATGCTTCAAATAATTTTGTTTATATAAAAAGTATAAATTTAATATATATTTAAATTGTTTTCTATAGACATAAATATAATCTTAAGTAGGTCTACAGAGTATATAATTATGTAATGAATAATTTTATATTGAAATCTATAAAGATGAAAAGTACGAGAAGACAGCTTCATTTATGATAATCATCTATGTTTTATATCTGTAATATTTGATAACGTCTATATTATATAAAATTTTTGTGCATGTAATATATTTAATTAATAAACAGGTAACGCTTAAGGCATAACTCTTAATACATAAATCACTTTTCCACTTAGAAAGAGGAGCCAAGTTTTCGAGAAATGTAAAGTATAATTGTTTTAGTATAAGACTTGATTTATTATTATTATTGTGAATTATATATATATGGTATTTGTATTATACTTTGATTCTATTATTGTTTATTAACGAATTAACCAAAATCCTTAGTTTGCTTATTTGATTAATGTAAAAAATTAAACTAATTGAACTAACTGTCATTAAAATAAATTTAAAAATAATTTGAAATATTTTATCTTGTAATATTTATTACGTAGAAGTAGTTAAGTTTCGTTTTCATTATAATAATCTAAGGTAACATGCAATTTTAATTGATTAAAAATAATATTATTATGTTCACTAATATGTTTAAAATTAATTATATATTTTTCGTAAGTTTACATTTATACGGAAAGTTTTTAAACTCGGTTTGTTTATCCTGTAGATCTACAATACGATGGAAACTTATATTTAAGTATGATAGCTCATAATTTATAGATTGAGTTTTAAGGAAAAAAAAACAAGTATAATCTACAAATTATACTGAACAATTTAAATAATTTAAAACAATGCTCCCATCCATTATTCTTTTTCTACGATAAACTATTTGTTTAAAGATTTTTACGTTATATTGCTAATTTAACTCCAATTTAAATCGATAATTTAATTTAATATGCATAAAATATTTTTGAATATTTTTTATTATTATATAATTCTTCTCATTGTGGAACAAATCAATACAGTGACGATAAAATTCAGATTAAATCATTGAATAATAGATTTAAAAACGAAATTATTTTAAATTTCCAATTTATAGAAAACTTTTTGAGATTTATACAATAAAAATGAGAGATATAGCAGATGTCACATCATAAAAAGCACGAAAAATATAATTTAAAATTCGTTATTATTTCTCATTACAGCAATAGATAAATAAATTGAAAATTTTTTAAATAAAAATTTCAATTTTTCCTGTACTGATAATATTAATTACTGTGCGTGTATAGAATTAAAAGATGTCATTCTAAGCTTGAACGCATCTATGGAACAATTTATCTGAGTGAAATTCGATTAGAGTGCACTATGTGATATTAAATGCTGAGCGTGTTACGTTCTCTTCGAGTTTCAAGGAGATATGACATCAAACTTTAGCTCTTCGACAACTTTATATGTACGTCAAAAGGTTGTTAAACGTTGAGAACATCCTAAATAGATTTTTATCCAATTACAGAAGGATTAAGTATTATCGATTTCATCTCGACCAATTACAGTTTGCTTAAACATCGTTAATTTCTTCTTTAACCAATTAAAGTAAATTTAATTAATCACGACTAATTATTTGCTAACCAATCAAATGCATTATAAAATCTACTAAAATGTATAACGTTCATATGTGAAAAAAATCTATTTTAATTAGAGTTTTTATCATTATAATCCTACTTTATATTATTATTTTCATTATTTTTTTTAAAAATATTTTAACTTGTTTATTTTTTTAATAAAAAATTGTGATTTATGTAGGCCTATAGTAGCCTAATTTTACTTAAAAAGTAATTAAAGTTTAAAAACTATTTATTCTAAAATAATGCATTTTAACATATTAAATTTAGTTTTTGCTAATATTTTTCAGTTCTAGTACTCAGAAATATTATTTTTCATATTTTTAAATATTAAATTTTAAAAATAATTGGTTTAAAGTATAGGCTACTGATAACTATAAATAAAGAGTTGTCATACATAAGTTTTATTGGTAAAAATTACTTAATTAAATTTGAAAAATAATATATAGATTGTTAAATTTAAATTTGTATATAGGCTATTTAGTTACATTCCTAAAAAATGTAGAATAAGTAATACATAAGTGATTTTTTCACGTCAATGGAAAACATTTTAAATCCGTAATTTAAAATAACTTTCACTCGTAATAACGATTTAATCTGCCAATTGTATAGCTCAATTTCCTGAAAGTTATCGAAATTCGTTATTCTTCTTTGGGTAACGAACACAGAAAATAGGAAATGGGACAGATATAAATCAGACTATTACGAAAATGAGAGGAAATGGAATAGAAATTTGCTTTCCCGAATACCATTTCCCTTAATAAACCATTCCCAATATGAAATACAGAAATAACGAATTTTCACGACACGTTACTATGGTGATTGTTGGATGTTATGTGTGTTACGTTCTCTCAGAGTTTGAATGAGATGTAACATCTAACTTTAATTCTTCTACGATTTTTTTAATATGAACGTCGAGAGGTTGTTGTTGCTCTATGTCCGGGTGATGATAAGAGTCTAGAAAATGACATCTTCCTTTAATATTTGTTGGAAAATCGCGAGGAAGACATTCTGGAGGGCGTGATTCGAACGTAAATCCATCAGTCCTCGAGAGTAAGCTGAAAATGTAATATATTAAAAAAGCTGATAATGGTAATTAAACCAGATATTTAATTTTTACCTATAGGTGGTTGGGCTAATGTTTATTCTTCCAGGCTTACTTCCGGATTCGAATTTGTTTGCCAGAGTGACGTTATTACCGAACAGGCAATAACGTGGCATCTTTAACCCAACAACTCCAGCCAAAACAGATCCTGAGTGTAATCCAATCCTCATCTAATATAAAATAAGAGAATTATAAATGCCTTAATTATTAAAAGATATTTTGATGTAAGAACGTACTACTATACCTGAAGTAGTTTGCCGTCATGAGAATGCACAGTTTGAGCAGCATTCATCATCTTGAGAGCCATCCATGCCGTTTGTTGAGCGTGAGTTTTACTTGGACGGTGAAGACCCCCAGCAACGCAATAAGCATCACCAATTGTCTCCGTCTAGAAATGATTTATAGCTTTGAAAATCAAGCAAGTAATAAAAAATCATTATTCATAATTACCTTATAAACGTCTAATTCTCCACAAAAAACATCGAACATTGTATATAGCGTGTTAAGCATATTAATCACCATCATGGGTGTGGCAGTTGAACAGATAGCGGTGAAGCCCACTATATCCGAGAATAACATTGTCACGTTATCGTATTGTTGGGCTTCTACGTGTTCACCTGTAAAACAGAAAAAAATTTACTATTAACTTCACAATTCTAATAATACGATTGTTATTTTGTATAAATTAATTAGGCTCTATCGTAATTTCTAAAAGGTAGAAAATAATTTAACACATTAAATTTTAAAAATCACATAGACAATAATTATATAACAAGATATATAGATTTTAATATTGTGATTAGTCTACATCTATTACATATTCATGTTAACATATATTAAGTGGGTAAATGTTTTATATCTAAAATTAAATATATTAGTGACAAGTTTAATTTTAATTTTATATTATTTCCAAAAAATATAACTGTAATAAATCTTGAAAAATAAACAAAATTGCTTTAGAATGTAAGACTTTTCCTTACTTTCCTTCTCTTAAATGTTTTATGTAGGTATTCGATTGGTGTGAATTTCACACCTGATATAGTGCAGTTTAATCATTTATTTATTTCTTTTTCAACATACTAGAATCGAAAATGAAAAATTTGTTACTGTAAATATTTTTTCAACCATTTTAAGTTCTTGTTTATATGTCGAAACGATATTAGCCATTATATAAATCTATCAATACAAAGAAACAACTAAAACACTTGCCTAGCCACAGCTTTCTAGCGATGTTAGGAGGAAAGACCAGATGCAACAGATCCACATTCTTCTTTCTTTCCATTTCTACAGCTTTGTTGGCTTCCTGTATAGAATTCTTCAACTTATCCATTCTTCTTTTCAATCCGTCTTGAGCTCGAACCTGCTCTTCTACCAAAATAATATCTCTAGTGGCATCGTGGATGGGTATATCAGACAAGTACAAACCTCTAGCATTCATCTCGTCTAACCCGTCTACAACTGGTGATCCCAAAAATAATAAACTCTCTGATTCAGGACAATATATCATTTGTCCTTTCAATGCCATACCCTGAAAATATAAACTTTATTTAGTTGCAATTAATGAGTTAAATTGTACCTAAATTGATTATTATAAGGCTCGTATTACTACGTTAACATAGAATTCATATATATTTCACTATAGTGCCTTTAATTATCATAAATTGTAATTTCATGTCATGTAAAGATTAAATTTATAACCTGTGTCTACTAAAATGCTTATCGTGGAAAATATTTAATGCTTATAAGGCACAATCAAAACTAAGTTAATTTATCCCATTAATTTACTGGAATAAATTAATATTACTTGAGAGATTAATGTTCAAAGTTAGTATAAAATTAATTATTAGCTAAATTATTTTAAGAAGTATATCACCCATAAATTATAAAGATAAAACACAGAGTTAACTTACCTCAACTTGATTATGACAGCTTTGTATGGATAGAAGAAAAGGCATATTCATTCTCGAGTAAATGGCTTGGAAACTTGGGACAAGTTTAGGCTGAAGAATTCGGAAAAATTTCATGACATTGCTTCCTCTAATTCTTTTATTTCTTCCACCCAAAACCTTAGATAGACCTAAACCAACTTGAACTAACTTCAAGTTACGATCAAAAATAAAATGGAAAGGGAAAGTTTTGCAAAACATGGCTACCGACAGCCGAGTATCTGTCCCTTCTAGAGATGAACTTCTTCCAAACGAGGCATTTTCTTCACTTTGTTCTACTACTTTTACTTCGTATATATAACTGTTATAAGCTTTCTCGCGTATCCTGATTACAGTTCTTAAATTGAACAAACTATCTATAATCTTCTTTATCACCCCAACAAATGCTTTAGCCCAAAATTTTCTTTTTGTTGTTAATTCCAGAATTAAAAAACTTTTAGTTGATCTTGGTAAGACTCTGAATATTTCTCTTTGATTGTGATCTTCTTTATTGCGAACATAGTCAAGACATTCTAAACTGGTGAACAAGTCGACAGCCGTACCACCTAGAAATTTTAGAGCTCTTTCATGCTCTTTCAAGCAATTGTCTACATGAAGAGATCCACACGTTTCTAAAAGAGCAGTTTCTTCAATTGCTACGAGATTATAAAAATAAATTTATATTAAAATACGTGATTTGATTTACTTATAACTCTGTAATTAATTTATATAAAAAGACACTAACTTAGCACAGAAACTAATTTTGAGATCTTCTTGTATATTTCCTGTTCAGATATGTGTTCACTTTCTTTCCGTTCCTTAGAATCGGAGGTTTGTTCTGCATTTCCAAAAGATATTCGTCTGTACAAAAAATACTACATTACTACATTCAAGAATAATTAGGAATGATACAGATGACAAATTTGCATATGAATTTTGTTTCTGGCTTTTTATTTCAAAAGGATTTCGAGAGAAATTTGCATAAGAAAAATATTAATGATATTCAAACAACAATAATAACTTCGAAATATATTAATATTTAATTTTGTTTTAAAAGAAATAAATGATATTAATATGCATTCAAGGAAAGAAATTAAGCAGAAGATAATAATTTTTCTGCAAATATTAAGCTATAAAAGTTTCTTTTTTTTCTTATTTGATTACTAAACTGCAATGCAAATTTTATAAACGTATAAATTATAGATGTTAAAGAAGAACTGTATAAGAGACGTTTGGGAATTTATCTTACACCTTTGCAGAATCTACATTTTGTAATTTTATGTTTAAACTATCTCAAGAATAAAAAAGTTAGCGTGAAAAACTTAATATATATATAGAATAAGAAAGACCGAACCTTATCTATAATTCTATCACAAATTTGTATAAAACTTGGATAAACAGACAAAACCTTTTTTGATACGAAGAATAATTTATGTATTTTTTGAATTTACCTTTCAATTCTCAAAAGACGTGGTTATTCTTTCATAGTTTCGTATATATCTTTATAGTAAATAATGTATAGAAATACATATATCATAATTTTAAACTTATAGTGTTTACTTTTCAAAATATAAGATTTGGAAAGAAAAGCAGAAATATTAAAAAAATATAAATAGAGATAGATGTGATAAAGTGTAAAGATACTGTAATATACATAGGCTGTATACATATATATAACTTATATATAAGAAAATACTTTTGAAATTAATTTATATATTAGAAGCATGTCTCATAAACGTAATAGCAATTTAACTTTAATTAAAAATAATAATTATTGCTAAAATCCTTAAAATTATAGGCAAAAAGATAGAAATGTAATTTCGAATTTTTTGTTTATAGCTTAAAATTGGTGTAGCTTTTATATATAGGCTTTATATTAAAATCTCTAAATTTTATACTGCCAACTTTTGAGCAATTGAATTTCATATGAAAAACTTAAATCTTACGAATTTAATTATGTTTATCATTTAAAAGTATAATTTAAATCTAAAATAATTTATTTATGAGATAGAAAAAAATGCTATTAGTGAAAGATTATTATATCTGCAGGATAATAATTGAAATATGAGATGAAGCATTTGTCTTGAGTAAAACAAATTAGTGATGCCTTGTAAATAGTTCATAAATATGTAAAAAATAATCTTCCATTAAGTAAATTATACCTTAAATTTATTCCGGAATATATTATTAACAAAAATATTTTAGAGGAATTCATGTTCGTAACTTTAATTTATGAAACAATAAATAAAATTTAATTTGCGCATAATTATGAAGAAATCTTTCATTATTTCAGCAACAAAGATAAAAATGACAATCAAGAACATTATAAGTAATGTATTTGTGGCGTAATTTCACTTGAAATTCAATTAAGTGAAAAAGAATAAAGCTTACCTATTTGATTTTCTTTCCTTAGCTGCATCTTCTAATAACGAATATATCGCAAAATTCTGAAATTAAATGAACTAAATAGTAAATTTTATACATTTTCGAATTATATATTTTAAGAATAAAAATAGATTTAACAGATCACGATATACAACATGTCGTATAAAAATAAAAATAGTTGTATCGTGTTCTCTCTTTATTGATTTTCTTGTCACGATACTGCGAACAGGATTTTTATCGTCCGAACTAAGCTGTCATGCTATGTCACGAATGTATCTGCGATTTCTGTGACGATTTAACGACCTGTTATCACTTTTATCTTTAAATTTTTACTATTTTAATGCTTTCATGGAAATAAGGTTATGTTACTGCTATGTATCGTCATCTCTCCATCTGTTCGTACTTACCAATTAAATGGATACCCTCATAAGAAAATTGTAAATGATTTTAGTCGAGAAATTTAAGGTTTTTTCGTGTTGAGAAAAAAATATTAGAGGAATTTTTTAAATATTTACAACAAGAAAAAAATTTTGAAAAGTTTGCTATGTATGAAAATTAACTTTCGTAAATGAATATATATTTTATTTAAATCAAACAGAATTTTTAATATTTTAAATTTGCATTTCTTCTCCAATAATTCGATCGTGTTCCTACTGGAAATGACTTCGTCAAATAACATGTTTTAACTCTTTTCCCCTTGGAATTATATTACAAGTACGAGTTTCTGAATGATCTTGATAGATCGGAGCAACTAGCACTCTTTCTTATTCCCTTCCCGTCCTTTTTGTTTTCTATCCCCAGAGAAAAGAACAATAAGAAGTTGAAAAAAAAACAGTATATCATGCTGTGTAGAAGAAAGACAGAGACGAAACACTATTAGTAGTGCAATAGGGTTTTTCTCTGGAGGCAGCACTACATTTGACTTTTTTTTTTCCCTTGGACGATTTCTTGCGGCACAGAGCAAACTATACAACATATAGAGGATGTTCTTCTCATGTAAAAATTATAATTTCCTGGCAAAAATTGATTAAAAAATTCTCATATAAATCTTGTTGAGAATATATCTGCCAGTTTTAATTATTTTTGAAATAAATATTAGAATATAGGGGAGATCGGGGCAACTTCGGCATGCGGGGCAAGTTTGTCAAGCGCTTTTTTTAAAAAACAAATTAAAAGGAGACTTTGGTTATAGGTTAGGCAGTTGAGTTTTATTGGTGGCTTGTTGAGTGTAGTGTTTTTATTGTTCTCCAACAAGCGTAGTTGAATTATCAAGCAAATTTTCATTTTCGTTCAATTCCATATAATATTTTTTTTCCATTTATATTGAATTGGCAGGTTTTGTTATAATTCCATGATAACGAAAGTTACTTTTCCTGTTAGAAGGATGTAACTTCAACTTATTCACGTGGCCAGATCGTGGCTTGGCATTCTGTTCTCAGGGTTGTACTTAATGTTTCGAAATCATGACTAGCGGGGTAAGATCGGCAACATAAAGCCACATTAGAAGCAAAGGATAAAAATCAAACAGATGATAAATGAAAACATGTTTGCATTTGTTATTCATGTATATATGTCTTTGAACTTGCATTTCGTTGTAATAATATTAAATGGGTGTTGGATTTGTATTTCTTTGTTTTAATAGTGAATTCCAACTTATACATTGTTAATAACATAATTTTATATACGTGCCTATCTTGCCCCATTACTGTTGCCCCTATACCAGGGGCAACTTTAATAAAAATAATTAAAATAATTACAACTTTACAAAAAGAGAGAAGTTGCCGATCTTGCCCCTATACCCGGGGCAACTTCGTCAATTTCTCTCTTCTTGTAAAGTTGTAATTATTTTAATTATTTTTATTTCCAAACTGATTTTAACCAGTTCTATAGTAAGGTAACATTCCAATAGACAATATGCAAAGCTTTTTTTTCAGTTTACAGCAGTATTTATTACACAAAATTTAAGTAAAGCTTAACATGCCGATCTTGCCCCGATCTCCCCTATATTATGAAAATCAAAGTTTCAAGCTATAAATAAACATTCTTAGAAATATTTATGAATTTGAAATCAATTATAAATTCTTATGCATGTCCTTAAATTTTGTTTGTAATTTATTTTAATTTATTAATAACTAACAGTATATTCTTACTAGTTAATTTAAAATTTAAGGGAATAAATTATGAGTAAAAAGTGCGAAATGTGATGAAAATGCAAGTGTATGAATGAAGAATATTGTCATGAAAGAATTAAAATTATTAATAAAAAATTAAAGTATTAGTAAAAAGTAAATAAACACATTGTAATACCATTATAATAAATTAAGAAGGCTTACTTATATTAATAAAAAAATAAAAAATCCATGAATTATTAAAAATAAATAAATAAAACCATAAAAATTTAAATAATCTAATTAATTAGTTTTTACTATTTTACCATAAATTTATTATAGAAAAATTAAGAAAAAGACTAAACATATTAAGAATAGACTAAAAATAAAACTGTAAACAAAAAATATATAAAAGTGAATATTTAAAAAGAAGATAAAATTAAACATGAATGAATTGAGTGTTGTTATTTATAGCTACAAAGTGCACTTATTATGTCCATATAAAGCTTAGATGTTATATTTGCTGATATTATGTAAATTTATCGAAGAGAGTTGACAGAGATTTGAGTTAGAGAGACAAAAGAGACAAACGCAAATAAAATGCTTTCAAAAAATTTTCTGTAAGATCTCTCAGATATCAGTATGAATGCAAGATTGGTAAATCTTAGCTATTTTTTCTTGACGAGTAACAGGAGTAGACTTGAAATAATGTTACATCGTTATCTTTCTCTAACTCGTTTCTCATCCATCAAAGACTCATCCTTCCCATCATCAGGTTCTTTTCAACACTCCGAAATAAATATATGTTTGAGAAATGTTTAGATCATTTTAAAATATACAATTTTCTAAATATTTCATAAAAATTATCAAGATTTTGTAAGGAATCTTGACTGTAATACGATAAAAATTGATGTATGTAGCGTGATAAGAATTGGTCTAAGATACAACATAACATGCTTTATAGATTTAAACTAATGAAAAAAAAAATCGAAACTCGTAAAATATTTAGCTTTTAAGCAAAAATTTAATTTATTTTCCACAGATTTACTCATTTATACTTAAGGCGAAGATACAAACCGACTTCGCCAAATGTCAAGAAGTTGAGATAAATCAATAAGAATAAAAGACGTGTGTGACAGTTTTTGACAGAGATTATAGGATTGCTATTGTCACAAGCTAGGTTTTTTATTATTAATCTTTTGTTTTTTTATATAATAAGATTTAATTAATTTTTGATAAGTTCTTAGATAAAATGTATATAAAAATTTCTTATAAATCAATTCGTAAACAATTCTTAAAGATAACAAAATTCCCTAGATATTCAGAATTACAATAAACATAAACAAGTTTATTAGTGATTTAACACTGAATAAACAAAAAAAAATGAATATTTATAAATTAAACATAAACTAAATAAAATTAAATTTATACTTTCAATTAAAAATTAATTAAATTTGCTGCAAAAGTATACAGTTTTTTCATCAGTTTAGTTTTACTTTACAATCAAGTAAATTAATATTAAATAATAATTAAAATAAATATTAAATATTAATTTACTTAAAATATAATAAAAATTTGATTAATATTTCAGTTTTACTTTAAAATTCTTTTCAAAATCAACTTAAGGTAACTAAAAAATGATTTGGATTGTAATTTTTAAACAAAATCAATTTAAAATTACGTTTACTTAATTACTTATTTAGAAAAAAAATTGCGTAATATAAACATTAAAATTTTAAATTTATTTTAAAACTTAAATATATAAAATTATGGTCTTAAAATTAAAAAAAATTTAAAACCATTCCTAGTTACAGTTCCTAGCTTTTGTTAGTATTATCAGAAACACTATTAAACTTTATAACAGATAAAATTAAAACAAAAGTGTAGTGTATTAGTAATGAAACATGAAAATAAATATCTAAAATGAACAAAAAAAGTCTTAAAAAATCAAAAAGAAAAGTTAAAATTTAATGAAAAGTAATTAAAAAATGGATAAAAACAAGATTTTTTTAAAAAAATATTTCGAAACATTTTCAAAATTGATCCGAATAAAATAATGATTTATTAAAGTTAAAAATAATTAAAAGTCATAATTTTATCGATAAAAATTCGATTTTTGTGTGTAAATTTTCAATTTGCATAAATAGAGTTGGACAAGATGACAAGTGAAAAATGAAGATAAATGTAATGTAAATAATGAAAAATAAATCATACTTTATTTTTAATTATTGTATTAAAATGAATTTTATATTAAATAAGTATATGCTTAAATCTCTTCTTTTAATTTTAAATAGTAATAATTTTTATTTTTATTTTATTTACTTCTTTTTATNATGATTAATACATATAAATCACAATAATGATGATGATAAATTATAAATATATGTAGAAATATACTACTTTTAGAAACCTTGAACGTTGATTTACTTGCAATTTGAAATGTTAAAATATTTATTAAATCAGAATAGTAATATAAACAGTACATAATATTTATAACTTGAATTAAAGAAAACTATTTTTTTTTTACAGTAATGTTACAAATGACTATTTGCTTTCTCTGGAAAATAAATTATTACAAAAATATCATAAATATAAGGTAGAAAATGCATAAATAATCACCACGTTCGACGATTAACTTCATACATTTGTTGCTAAGAGAGAGAATATTTTTCCTGTTGCAAACTACTATATTGGACTACACAGAACATTCGTAACAGGATAACAATTACAATTTTAACAATATGTATTTTGAGTGTTTACCATTTCTTTTCTGAATAAAAATAATATATTTTTAAATTTATTTTTTATTTTTTTAAAACTTAACTTAATACGTTTTGAATTTTTCTTTTATATTTTTTAAATACTATTTTTTTTTATTTTCGTATCTTTAATGCTTCATTTTAACTTTTTGTTTTATTTTTACCAGAATGTTAAACTTAACTCGTAAATATTTTATTTAGAAACGTTAAAAATATCTCTAATATTTATTCTCACGAATTTTTTATAACCATTAAAAATATATTTTCTTTATTCGAAAAGAAAAAAAATTCTCCATTCTTTCTTCAATTAAGACATAAATCTTATGCATATTTTTTCTGCACAACAGGCAATCAATCATAATCATTTTTTGTAATATTGTAAAGTAAAATTATTGTTTTGATGTTTACGATTTGGACTTTACAATTATATATACGGTATCTATTTTTTCATTTTTACTTTTGGCATTATACCGAAAGAATTAAGCGAACTGATGCATTATTTCTCGTATATATAGTTAACATTTTGGAAGAAAATATAACTATTGTCTTCTTTATGAATGATAGAGAAGTTTCTTAGAAGATAAAATTTAGTATGTTTTCTAAGAAGCATGTCATTGATTGCTTCTTCTTTGAGAATTTCAGTCACTATCGATTGAGATAGATCAACAATGAACAGCACCACATTCACGCAAATGACTATTCTTTTTTGTAAGTTCCTTCGAACGAAGAATGGGCATTAGTACGATAAATTGATGGTCAGAAAATATATTTCACGTCGATAGTTTTAAATTTCTCTAAAGAATATAGATCAGAGCATTTCCACTATTTTATCTTTTTGTTCGAATACAGAAGATGATGCATTAATCGAACACTAATATTTTGCATATGATGCATCCAGAGAACTTCCAAAGCTTAAAATAAGTAAAAAATGATGAAATTTTATAATAAATTGATGGAATTCATTTCGAAAATTAATTAATATTTTAAAATATCACTGTTGATATTTATATTTATTGACTTCGTATGTATTTACTATGCCTGATTCATCTGACTTCTTTTACGATATATAAAATGCCAATATATTTTCATCTGCTGACTATTTAGACTTATTCATTCAGTTATTTATTTTCTTACTATTAAATGCTGGATGCATTAAATTATATCGTCTGTTAATGAATCAAATTCTTTAACTTAGTTAAGAAAATCTCAGAAAAATTCTATTTTATACAAAACTTTCTTTTTTGTTTAAAACGTGTTTAAACTTACAATACTCAGAAAATGGGCTTCGTCAATAGAAAAACTATTTAATCGCTTTAATGTATACTACGATGCTATCTCGAAAATCCGTTATAACATCTTTCCGTATTTTCTGCATTAAAATTGCAGTAGAACGTCCATTAATAAGAATTAATTATTATTAATTAATTATTCTTTGCATCCTCGGTATAAATGTGTTTTCTATTAATGTTCCTCAGCATTATTCAGTAATGCTGCCTTTCAGAATTAATGTTTTTATATGTAACTCCGTCGTGACACGTTTCCTTTAAGATATTAATCAAAAAGATTATTATTTAATTACAATTTTATTTGATCTTTTTTTCATTTTTATCTTGTGCATATTCTGCACATTTTTAGAGAATGTCTTTATACGGAGTCTGCTTATTAAGTTCATTTGGATTGTCTTGTTGTATTCTCTCAAGTTTAATTTCATTATAATTTCTATAATAATTCATTCATACTGTCATAAAATCACAAACTTTATATAAAATATTTTTCAGTTTATTTAATTAACAAAATTGGCTTTTTGTTTTTTTTATTTATACTTTACATTACTCGAATAGCATCATTTTAAAAAATTTGCATACAAAATTATTGATTTTAATCTAAAAATAGACCAAATGTTATTTTCTATACTTTAATTTTGTTTAAACAAATAAATTTAAACATTAAACTGCTTAATTTATCTAATGATCTAACATTAAGAGCTATGAATGCAACATTACTGGAGATTTTAAAATAGCTTAAGTGCTTTCAAAAACATCCATTTTGCTATATTATACAGTACATTTAGTTAAATATATTATGAATTTACAGAAAAAAATATTAAACGTGATTTTTTATAGTTATTTTAATTAAGTAATTATCAATTTTCATCTACTTTGCATCTCCATTAAATATAACGTAATGGAAAAGGACATTGTAATAAGCATTTCTGGTTATAAATATGAATGAAATTAATAAGAGAATAATTAGTATAATTGGCTATGTCTATAGTATTATATATAATTTGTATTTTTATTAGAAAACACAGGGAACATCAAAAGATTGTATTCTACTTTCATATGTCAGAAAGCAATTTTGAGAATTAGAATATATATTCAGTTTCGTTTAACAGAAACCTTATTAGGTTAATAATTCGAATTTCTGAAACGGAAACGATCGAATAATGTAAATTCTAAATTATATACTACTAAATGGAATATAATTCAATTTTAAAAAGAAAAAATATGAAAAAATTTTACATAGTAATAACTAATTTTCATATACGAGATTAACAATAGTTTCTTTTGTTTTATATTGAAACTTTAATGTATTAAATATACAATACACAATAAATAAGCGTATAAATTACTTGAATTTTAATTGATAAGCTAACATTTAAATTGAAAATTATAATGTTACAAACGTTAAACTGCCAACGTGTGAACATATTACACATCGAAATACCTGTATAAATTTGAGAAATTTTAATTATAAAAATAAATGAATTCTATGACTAAATAATATAAGTAAAAGTTAAAGAATAAGATAATTTATAGATTATATACAAAGTTTTGAATTAATGTAATGATATTCAGTTGTAATGAGTAGAAAAAAAAACTAATATAAGTCTATAAAACAAATTCTTTATAGTTGAGATTTATTTATTATTATTATTTTGACGTTAAAATATGAACACTTTTAAAACTAATAATAGGAGAATATCATTGTAAAATGTTGTATAAATTTAAGTGTTATGGTAAAAAATATTTTTCATATGATAATTGAATACATTGAAAAACCTTACACACACACACACACACATATATATATATTATAAGGTAGGAGAGCACATAATGGTCTAGCAAGTTTGGATTATTTTTTTACCAAGAGATGACTAAGCTATCACATAGACTCTGATGGCTAAGGATTGGATTGGATTAGTGTTTAATGGCGCAAGGTCTTCATGGACCACGCTGTGCCCTCTGATATCTTAGTCATTTCTCATAGTTATGATGGGCTCTCCTACCTTATGTAAATTGTAATTGTGTTATGTGCTATGATTAGCTAAATTTTGTTCACCAATTAATACATAGTCTTAAAAGAGAATTACGAGGGAGAAAATAAAAATGGTTCGTTAAATGCTACTGAGAAGATAAACAAAAATAAATTAATGGGGTGTCCTTCCTTTATAGAAAATTGCAATATTGGAACCGTTTAAAGCTTGCAATACATCGTTAAGTTAAAAGCAGCATTATCGTTTTCAGCTCGGATAAAGAAGAAAGTAAAAAAGAAATAGGTCATAAAACGTATAAAAGTATGAAACTTGATCAGTGGTTAACCGGAAGATGGACATTTTATTATTTTGGAGATTTAATATAAGTTCCTTTCTATTGTAAAAAATGATAAATGCTGTTAAAAATTATTTTATAAAATATTTTGGAATCTTCTCTATGTGTATTTGTGTTTTAAAACAACAAACAAAAAACTATGTGAATGCTAAAAACTCGAAGTCCTATTTTTTACATTAAAAATATAAGAATTTTTTAAATGAATTGGCTTAAAAAGTTAAACAAATTTATTGTATATATATGTGACAATTTGAAAAATATGATAATTTCAATGCTAAACGTTAACATTTTTATGTAAGAAAGTCCTTCGTATATAGCAAAAGTATCAAGTAATTCACTACGAATAGCAGGAATATAGAGCAAGAAATAATAAAAAAAAAAAAAAAAAAAAANTAACGATTTAAAAATTCTGTATTCGTGTTTTAATCGATAATCTATATCTATATCTATATCTATATCTATATCTATATCTATATTATATATATAAAAATGGACATGTATGTCTCTATATCTCACTTTTTCGCCAAAACTATAAGGGTGCGGGAGATATGAGGCTAAAAGTGGTTGAAAGTGGCTTTCTATTTCGAATGTTTTGTTCGATTTTTTCGAATTTGTTCGAATTAAATTCGAACATAAAATTCGAATTGGTTCGATTATAGAACGATTGAAAACGTTCCAGAAACGTTGAAAATAGTTCGTTTGACTAAACTTAAAAATTCTCTAATTAGTCTGGAAACGGAAGACCTAATTCTTGCATTTTGTGAAAACGGGTAAGATTAGCTATAATGTAATTATCGTAATCTTCACTATCGTTACTTTTTGCCCAGCGAAGCGGGTTTTTGCAGCTAGATTCTAGATTACTTAGAAAAACAGTCTTTTATATATATAAAAAAAACTATACTATTACATACAAATAAAAACCCAGCGAAGCGGGATCTTGCAGCTAGTTAAATAATAAAATTAAAATATTTTTGGTTCCGATAAAAGTTTATCAGTACACAAAAACTTCCTTCTGTAATTAATATTTTTATGATAAAATATAATTAAGAAATCAATAGAAATTGTAAATAACTTTTATGCTTGACAGTTTAAAAATTACATGTGTTTGTGGCTAAAAAGTTTATTAAAAATAATAGAAACATGAAGTAGAAACTGTTCAGATTTACATTAAGAAATGTAAAAAATTTTAATGATTATAAAAACATGTTTGATAAAATTATTAAGATTAAATTTAGTATAATTTATTCATAATTTAGATCAAATATAAATATTTTATAGTTTAAGTAATAGCGCAAATTTAGTTTAAACTTCTGTCATAGGTTTTTTTACTGCATCGTGTTGGATAAAGTACAAACAAGTTATTTACATGTCAATAATATAACTTTAAAAAGTTAAAAGCAACAAATTACTTTACCTATCCTATAATACAATGATAAATTTTTAAAATTTTTTTCTATTAAATTGAAAAAAAAGATAAACTAACGTATGCTAGAAATCTTTGTTACTTATGTTATGAGATTTTTAAAACTTAAGCTGTAAAGCGAAATTTTTAAACACTTTCCAACAAAACTACTTACCGAAGGATTAATGAGACTTAAAACAGCTATTGTCAGTCCCCTGAGATCCAATCTTTCCTCGTCTAGAGAATCAGATTTATCAATTGACAGAAAGTCCACGCTACAGCTTCTCATATACGACTTCATTCCAGTCTTGTTCTGTTTTAGAGCAGTCCTTCTCTCGAAGGGGCAACCCATATTTTGTTTTGTTTTTTTTATTTTTTATATAAAGTTTCAACAAGATTTATATAAACATAACTTGTTTATAGGAAATTGTTTTTTTTTTCTCATTAGTTTTCCATCTGAGTTCTTGTTAACCTAGAGTTTGAACTCTGTAGTTCCTCCATCTGTTGTTGGAATTTATATAGTACCTCTGGTCGATACGCGACATTGGCGACGAGTTGTGACTTACAGGCGAACTATTTTGATGATAACAATAAATGTTTAACTTTATATCGATAAAAGATAAAACCGATTAAGGATAATTTATCAAAAAAAGTCAAAATTTTTAATTTTGAGGTTCGAAATTTATAGACTTTAAAGTAAAATACAATTCTCAGAATGGCCTTTCTTTGATATAAAGTATCAATTAAATTTTTTACACTAATTGAAAAATATATAGGCCTACATATTAAAACTTTTATAAATTTCCCATTATTTATTTACCAAAGATTTTTTCAATTTATAAACGAATTAAAACTATTTTTCTAGCTCATTGATTGAAAATCTGCATAATAACTGTGATTAATATATTATAAACATGTTAATGTAGCTTACACGAAGAGAAAATTTATCTTGAGCATAAAAGATTAACGATCACGTGTTTGAATCTAATTGATTGATACCAGGTTATTAGCCACGTCGCATGAAGGACAGAAGACATTTCGATGCTTTATCTGTAATATAGTTCTATATATCTATATAAACATATATTAATATAAAACGTTTTAATACTTGCGTAATACGAAGAGGAAATTAAAATCGATTCTTAGATTTTAATATTCATCCGGTAAAGTAAACATATTTAATATTTATTAAATAATTTCTTCAGTCATTTTTCATTAAATTATAATTCTCTGTAGTTGTCATTGAATTAAAAAAATTTTTTTTTTACAGAAGCGAAATTCAAACAGAAAACCTGCGGATTTAAAAATAATAAAAGAAATAAAAATTATATCTGTTGAAAGAATTTTAAATTTAAAATGTAATAACTTATATAAGTTTTGACGGGTCTAGATGTTGTAAAATTAGTATAAAGTCGTAACTTCTTACGATCAATATGCATCATAAACTGTTCTTAAATGTAACATAAAAATTTGATACACTTATTTGGCTCAATATTCAATTTTACATCAACTCTTTTTTTTATCAGACGTTATTTTTAAAAGTAGAGTATTAATAAATAATCTCATTTATAGTTAAATGTACGATTTGTTCTGTATTATATACTTATTTTTTCACTCCACATTTCAAAGTAGTAGCAATATAAATTAATAATAATAATAATAAACTCATTTCAAATTACGAAAATTTAATATAAAACAATATGAAATCAGTTTTAGAAATTAAAATTGATTTATAAATGAAGATAAAAATTAAAAATTCTGTATAGAATATAAGTAAATGTATATAAATAACAATTTAAATATAAATTGTTATTTATATAAATTATTAATGTATATAAATAACAATTTAAATATAAATTGTTATTTATATAAATTATTAATGTATATAAATAACAATTATTTTAATATAATTTTGATAATCTAAAAAAAGTGAGAATGAATTTAAACTTACGATAAATATTTATAAGAAGAATAAAATTTTGTTTTAGTTTATTAGTGATTTGAAATTTTAAATGTATAAAAAGCAATAAAGAAATAATTTTGCACAAAAATAATATTTAATTGACTATAGTTTTTATATACAGTATTCGATTCTACTTGTCTATGTAATTTATTATGCTTGGTTTCTCCATCCTTAGGTAAGTCATGCTACTTGCTATTTGCATAATGATTAATACATATAAATCACAATAATGATGATGATAAATTATAAATATATGTAGAAATATACTACTTTTAGAAACCTTGAACGTTGATTTACTATAATGTAGTATTTATTTACTAGGAGAAAGGAAGTTTATTGATATTTTTCTATTGTTTTATACAACTTAAAAGTTTGGAAAAATAAAAACTGAATACTCAGAATCGATAATTATATTCAAAATGTAAATTATTCTTTTATTTTGTTTTTTAGAATGGTTCCAGTCTGAAATACAAAATAAAGGAATAATTTGATCCAAAATTGCTTCTACTTCCGTCTGGTTTATAATATAATCGATATGTTTTTCGAAGGCGCGGTCGACAAATACCCTTAAATTGATTGTTCTTCAAGGCTATTTGTGTGTTTAATTACTTTATAATTCTTGTTAAAAGTCGAAGTTATTATAGAGCGAATTACATTTTTTAAAGTTAATTACTCAATTTATGACTTTGCAAGTTAATTGAAAGAAGTGCGCTGTTCTGATATCGGAAATAAGAATGACGATGACTAATTTAATCAAATAAGAGTGAAAACTGTAAAAAATAAAATTAAATGGCAATGATGATACGTAAATTTTGAATTTACTTAATGCTATTAAACATATTAAATTCTTTAAAGTTTTAATATATGCTATAAGAAAGATGCACATATTGATTAAATAAAAACAGCGTTTATGATGTATAAGGGAGTCAGTATAGGAAAATTAAATTTCTATAAATAGTTTTCTTTTATTAGGTAAGTTCTCTTTGGTGAGGATTAACGATATTCCTTTCCTACTTTTTCTGGAAAGAAGATCCGGTTAATGCTTTCTGTACCAATATTTCTTGTACAAAACACATTTAGATTGATCACATAAGCCGCTAAAGAAAGAAATTCAAAATTTATGAGAACGGAATATAAGAAAAATTTTTGACGATTTTTATTATATATTAAAAATTCATTTAAAGATCTTCGACAAATAAAAATGATAATTATTTGCACATAAAAAATTTTATTTTTATGACGTCATTTATGTGGAAATTTGAAACTGTAAATCAAGTAACACTTATGAAAATAAAAATTTTAAAAGTAATATCGAAAGCGAAAATATTATTAATAAAATTAAAAAATAAAAATAAATTAAAACAGAGTCAAACCTTAATATAGTACCATCTCAAATAGCACCACAACTGTCGATAGGGAGAGAGATGGGAAACTTTTTCCGGGCCCATAGTGATTATAATATTAATTTTACTACTAGAAATTAAAATAATTAAGACTGCTTTTTATTAATTAATAAGGAAAAATCCTACGTACATCATTTGTTCAAAAACATTAAAGGGATCCGCTTTCCCGGACCCCAAACAATCTCTCGACAGCCCTGAAGAGCACTTCCCTCGTAAGGTGAAAGTGAATATTTATGTATAAATGGACCTTCCTCATAAACATTAAATAGAAAACTTTATTGTTTATGAGGAAGACTGTTCAGTTTCGCATTGGAAATGACGTTGTTATCACTAAATTATGTAACTTTCGAATTTAAATTGATGTGTAGACCTTGTTACTATATATAATTCTTATTTTTTGATGTTCTTCAGTTTAAGATACTCGATTTAACGCTAATTTTTAAGGCGAGCAAATGTTGCTTAAGTCGCGGTTTGACTGTATACATTTATGACAATTTAACTTTAATTGAAAGTCATAAGAGGTATAATGTAAATATAATTTTTTTCCTGTAAAGCCAATAAATAGAGAACAATTATAACATAACTGAAACTATTACCTAAAAGAATATAAATAATCCGAAATATGAAAAGTAAACTATAATAAAATTCAGTCTCTTGATATTCAACAAGGGTGTGGACCAACATTTTACTAGAATAAAAGCACGTGTTGGATGGTTAACCCATTAAAAATAACGAAACAATGTTAATGAAGGACATTTCCTAATTGTATTCCGTGAAAAAATGAATGATTACGTCATTGTTTTTGAGGATAATTTCGTTATGCGCTTAGAAATTAATATTAGATAATATAATTTACTAAAATAATTATAGAAAGAAACGAAATCAAATTATTTTATGCATTGACAATGCTTTTAGATAATGATTAAATATAAGTAAACAAAATAAACTAAAAATAATCTTATTATATAAATATAAACAAAGAATTTATTAATTAGTGCATTGTTTAACGTGTAAGCAAATGTTGATCCTGATAAATACCTGTAAGCAGTTTTAATTACGAAATAGTTTATGTACTGTACAGTACAAAGAGATCGAAAGTGCATTTATGTGTAGACGCGTTTAAATTTATCATATTATATAAATGCATTGTTATGTAGAGTGGTTCGAAAGTCAGTTAAACAATAAGTTGAACCAGTTAAAAGTAATCTGAAATAGAAGAATGTAAACACTTAGCTGCTCTAAACTTGTTTTAAAATATATTTCGGTTATCTAATATACTGCGCACCCTATTTTCGAATATTTTTTACAGGAATTTATTCGGAAAATTTTATACAGAAAAATCGAATGTATATTATTGTGACATCTTCATAATGCCGTGCTGCAAGTTTTAATCATCTTTTAATTTAAGAAATCACGTAACTTAAGGTCCACTGGACGTTCGTATACAGTTAATAGGTTGCGTATGACTCCCAAGCTTCTTGTATCTAGTCTCTATTTTCGTCTAACTGCGTTCTCGAGATTAATAAAGGAGGGAAGGACGGACGGACGATAGTGGGAATGTATAGGTCTGAAATGTAAACATTTTAGCCCAATAAAATGCAAATAATATAAAATAACTGATGAATGCGGATGGAATTGAATAAATAGAACTTATGAATTTTTACTTAATTTTATTTACATGTAGGCATAGTAAGCTACAATTTTCAAATTGTAGACCTGTACATTCTCACTCTTTGTCTCTGTCTGTTCGTTAATCTCGAGAACAGGACAGTTGAAAATTGAGACCAGATATTGAAAACTTAACTAAATACTCGATTAACAATATACAAACTTTCGGACTGGATCTGAAATCACGTGATTTCAATTCAAAATTTTTTCGAGAACGCAGTTAGATAGATGACGGCATGATTGGATTGTTATCAGGAGAAGTATGATATACAGGAAAAAGACACAAAATTCAGATCAAATATGGAAAGCTTAGGGGTCGGAGATCCGATTAATTTTATATGAATTTTCGATCTGGACCGGATGTCACGCGATTTTTTAAATTTAAAGATGATGAAAAATTGCAATCCGGCTTTGTGATGATGATGTCACAATGAATAATTTACTTTGAAATCAAACGCA